CTCATTGTCTTGCTGAAATGTCCAGCCACGTTTCATCTTCATCATCCTGGTAGATGGAAGCAGATTTTTATCAAGAATGTCTCTGTACCAGGGTGTCCGCGGGTCTTGAAAAGTCTTATATTCTATATATTCTAATATTTTATTACTTGCTTTTGCTTAATMCACGTGAACACTTACTACCAGTTAAATGGCCTCGGCAATGCGCTTGTCAGATGGGCGGGGTATTCCAGCTCTTTAATATGAACATTAAACCTTATTTATTGAACCTAAACTGTGATTGTGGAAAACCCAGTTAGTGAGTTTTGGGTGGTATTATAGAATACCTCTATTGAATCAGTGTATGGTTCTTTTATTTTTCCCTTTCAAAATAAAACAAGTAATCTGGTGGGGTTTTTTATTATTCTTTTGTATTAAAACTAAATTAGAAAAACGACAAATTTGAAAAAGGTTTTTTACTTTAATGGCTAAAGCAAAGATGAGCTTTATATTTTGTTAGTGCACCATTTGTTACTTTCTGCCAGAACCAGAAATCGTCATGGTACAAAATCCTAGAGCAGTACATTTTCACTTGGCACTTAAAGAAATGGTCCTTTTTTTTTTTTTTTAAAGACGTCGATTCATCTTGAGAGCTATTTTACCTTAAAGGGGACCTATAATGCAAAATTCACTTTTTAAAGGTTTTTTACACAATTTTGGGTATTTACTTCTTAAAAAAACAGTCCTAGAACCAAATGACAAAAATCGTCTCAATTCACTGTCGGTCTCGTCCTTCTCTCCAKCCAAACAAACAAACAAAACTTCCTTTCTGTGCCAAAAATCTACAGGAAGAAAGAAATAAAAAGTCACTAATGAAGAAATTAACGCAGCATGCCCCGCCCCCTTCTGCCCTCTCCCTGTAGTATTATCTAAAGATTATATATTTGTTTGAAGAAGATGTTAAAGATCCAGTTATGTCATGTCAAGTTGAACTTTCTGAGACCCGATTAAACTTTTAAATGAGGTTTCTGCTGTAAGTATGTCTGAACTACAGCCCCCTAAAGATTTTTATTTTGTGGAAGTTTATCATCGGTTGCTGTATTTTTTTTTCTCTCTGTGATTTATTTTAATTTGATCTATATATAAAAATAAACTAATCCCTGCTGCGTCTCCAGGCTCACAAGGTTCAGATCAGCCTTCCAGGGAGGAAGAAGAAAGATGCAGTGAAGAAGTCTGTTAAGAAGACAAACTCCACTTCAGTTCCTGCGAAGAATCAAACAAACTCCATAAAGTAAATGATATTTAATGTCTTTATTTTCCTCCCAGGTGTCTTTTGTTTTTCTAGTCTTCTGAAGCCCGTGGCTTTAAATCCCAGCCTCTCGCTCTCTGCAGGTCATCTGTGAGCTCAGAGGGAACATCTACTGAGAGGGAGAAGACTGATACAGAGGAGGAGGAGGAGAAGAAGCATGTCTCATCCCCAGCAGAGGAGCTGGTGGAAGCTCCGCCCCCTGCTGCTCAGAAAACACCAGCACACCTTCAGAAACAAACAGTGAGCAGAAAAATGACACATTTCAAAGGAAGCTGTGCAGAAATGGTGGAAATTACTTAATTATTTTGTCATGTTTAACTTCTTTAGATCCCAAAGGAGTTTGACATCGACTCTGAGAACTCTGAGGACTGCTACATGTGTCCGGAGTACGCAAAGGATATCTTCGACTACCTGAAACAGAGAGAGGTGAGCTTAGAGATGCTGAAACGTGTTCCAAAGCTTTTTCTGGCTTTTGGAAAAATTGCACCCCCCTCGATACAGAATATAAAGGTGGTCTTTCTGTTCTCGTCTCATCCCCGGCCTGGCGCAGGAGAAGTTTGTCCTCTCTGACTACATGTCCACACAACCCAGTCTGAACCCAGAGATGAGGGCGATCCTGGTCGACTGGCTGGTTGAAGTTCAGGTTGGTTGATTCATGGTACATTGTGGTTTGAACCTGATGTACTACATTTTTTAAAGTTTTTATATAATAACTATAATTTCAGTTGACAAAATGCCAGCATTTTAATGTATAAACCAGAGGTAGTCAGCATTTTACAACATTTCTGCTCCTTGGCTCACTAAGAAAATGTGTCCGGAGCTAAAACATGCTACAACTGTGATTATCAACTGCTGGTCTGTGGGCCAATTTTAGTTTACTGAAGTGGTGGTTTCTGGCCAGTGGGGGCAATTTCATGAAACTACAAATATATAATGAATTTAAAYATTAAATATTATTTCTACATTTTAGGATAAATAAAAAAGACGATATTCATTAGGGCTGCATGATATTCGGACAACCTGTTGTAATGGAGCTTAATATTGCAATGATGATGATGACTTGTGATAAATGAACAAATACTTAATTATGCAGTGTTGAYGTCTTTCTGCTCTGAGTACAGAGCAAAAAYACATTTTTATTCCAACATGACAGTTTTATTAAAAATAAAAAGTAATTAGACACAGTGAAACAACAAACTGCA